TTAGGTCGATCACAAAATTCATTCACAGCCTTCAGTCGTGACACATGAACCACCGGATAGAATCGGTATCCACTCTTGTCTGGCAACTCCAGCTCATAAACAAATTCTTCCACTTTGCGTTTAATACGGAAAGATTCATGCCACCTATGGGCAATTTTCTTAACCAATCCTGGTTTGACCCGCTCCATATAGAGCCATAATCTGTATCCTGGTTGGAACAAAGACTGTGGGGTTGAATTATCGTCACCCGAGGTGTCGGTGTTCTCCTGCGGGCAAGCCGCTTGCTCCGTACGGCTGGGCTTCTCGTTGTGTTCTCGTGCCTGTCTTGCTTTCTCAATGGCTTGGTATTCTTTAGCCATCTCGAGCGCCACTTGTTGTTGACGGTTAATTTCTCGTCTCCAGGCCAATGCCTCTGACTGCTTACCAATACCACGCTTGAGCGAGGTCGTCATGGCACGCAAAGTTGTATGTGCATCCCAACCGTGCACTAGGTAAAATGGAGTTTCCTTTCTCGTCATGTCATGCGAGTTATTGATAGCAAATACGAGTCGTTCCGCGATTTCGTCCCAGTCTTGTTGTAGTAGGTCCTCAACATAGACTTTCCCTGACTGCATGACTGTCTTCACTGAGCGCTCTTGTTGACCATTCGCTTGTGGATGATAGCTCCATGTAGATCGTGACCTTGCTTGAATCAATTCAGCAAAATGCTTGAAACACTTCGCTCATGAAGCGAGGGTCACGGTCATGGCGTATCAACGAAGGTGCACCGAATCTTCGGTATATGCATTCTTCAAAGACCTTAGCCACCGTTAGCGCATCCGTGTCTGACATTGCTTTAGCAATGACGAAACCCCGTGAACGAGCACTGCCAGAGTAATAGGGCTGTACTGCCTCGGCGATACTTCGGCAGCGGGATAATGAAATCCATTGATACTACTTGGAATGATCGTTCTTCGAGCACGTTACCAGGTGAGTAGCCTTTGAGCTGTGGTGCGCTCTTGCTCGAGCTACAGTCAAGGCACGACTTCACATGTGTTTCCACGTCTGCATACCGTCCAATCTAGTAGTAGTCATGCTTTACCCTCTGATACGATCGAACGACACCTTGATGCCCTCCTTCAATAGAGACATGACAATTCTGCAGCACTTCTTGGATCATAGTTGTCGGTACTACAAGTCTCAACGACAACTCCGGTTGGTCATCTTCCGACTTACGTCGAGTTGGGCCCACATAGTAGAGTATGTTATCGCTGGATAGGACAAACTTGTCAGACCATTTCCACGCGTCTCGAGCTTCCTTGTAGCTCATTTTCGTAGTTTCTCTTCTGAGGATGGCCTTAAGCATCGAACATCTCAGTTCTTCCTCCTGTGCTTTGGAAATTCGTCGGAGTCGCTCTTCTTGTATTATTGCAGGTCGATATTGTTGGGATTTGGCGAGTGTTGTACCTCGGCATGCGTCCGCTGTGGCTCTGCCTGTGAGTTGTCGGTTAGTGCTTCAGCCTCTGTCTCGGCCTCTACTGCACTGTCGTTCAGGTCATCCTCGAAATCGACTCTCTTGTTCTTCTTCCAAGCTTGGCTTCGAGTCATAGCTGCGATTCGTGGCACGAAATTGGTGAATGTCTTGCTTTGTACGGCAATCTCACCACTTCGAACGCTAGCTTGTCGTGTTATCACTTGCATAATTTGAACGAAATTCTCAGACTCACTCTTCATGACCTTGTTTTCATCCGAAGACGACTCGTATATCATTTCTTGGATTCTGTTAAGTTCTTTTAACTCCGACTTTCGGTGGTCGTTGAGCACCACCTTTGACACCTTCGACTCCAGTGCTTTTCCAGCAAGCGAGTCAGCAGCAGCATTGTATTCACGAACCACATGCAGGTATCGAACTGACTTCAGCTTGGCTGTGAGTTCTCGGTGTCAGTTCAACAGTGCGAACAATGAGTCCTTCCGACATGCGATCACCCCTAGTGATTGCTGGATTGCCAACCGTGAATCAAAACTATAACTAAAATTTTCAGCACCGTGTTCTAGTGCAGCAAGCACTCCGTTGTTCATCCCATTGTACTCAGCCATATTCACCGTAGTGACCTCAAGGTAGGCACTCGCAGCGATCATTATATGCCATTCAGACAATTTCCACACTATCCAGTAACAGCTCCCGTATCCACCATTCTTTTCGGTCATCGCCGAGCCGTCAAAGGAAACTACAATTTCGTCGTAGTCGTGTGGTAATTGCGCATACAGTAGACTGGGGTTCCTCCGAGTGCTCGGTGACCCTTTAGTCGGTGGGGCCACCAGCGCCAGCGACTGGCCTAGGTCCACAAAGTTAGTAATCGTCGACTGGAGTAATTGCATGAATAAACAGTTCTTCTCTCTTATTCTTTGAACTTCCAGCAGCCAGGGAGACAGCAGCACTGCAAACTGCAGAGCGACCAAACAAGGACTTTGACTTGTGCACCCACGCCAGCGTGGAGTACCTCGTATACACATGCAACGTCTTTCCAGCCAATTGAGTGTAACACAATTTCAGTAATAGGAGTAACGCGAGTACTTCCTTTTCTGCCGAATGATAGTTCATTTCAGCATCTTTGAGAACTCGTCCACAGAACCGAACTGGGTGCAATTTGTCGCCATGCATCTGCATGAGGGTTGCACTCAACGCCCACTCGTTTGCATATAACATGACGTGCATTTTCTTCTTGTCGTCAAAATGCCTCAGTATCGGTGCCTCAGCCACGTTGCGCTGAAACACTCGAAACCTTTCTTTCGCCGCCGACAAATTACTCTCTGTTTCGAAATCTTCGTCCTTGAGCTGGTACAGCGCCGCACCGAAAACCGCAAAGTCCTGGATAAAGCGACTGTAATAGTTCAGTGCTCCAAGGAATTGCTGCATGCCTCGTTTCGTCTTTGGAAACGATAGCTCGATAATCGCCGCCATCTTTTTGCCATCTGCCTTAATCCATTCCGGTGATATTTCATGAGACAGGGAATCTACCTTCGACTGGCAAAAGTTGCTCTTGGTGAAGCTTACACTTATCCGGCATTCTTCAAATCGATTCAACAACTTGTCCAAGGTATTCAGACAATTGTCAAATGTGGTACTGCCGAAACAGATATCGTGCACAAATGATCGTCGTTGGAATACAGGTATCAATCAACGTCGACTCATCAGGTTCATTTGTCGTGAACATGTCAGCTGCAGGAGCATTCACTAGTCGTAATACTGGATCCAGCTCCAATGTTGACTCACGATCAGCATGGAACTTGTTACGACTATTCGTCAACTTCCAACTTGGCGAAT